CGCGCGCGGGGTCTGGGACCTCGGCGGTCGCCTTCGCCCGTGGGCCCTGCGGTCGCGTACGTGCGCTGGGCTTGCTTTTATTGACTAGAGGTGCGTTTTTATCGCCGTAATGTGAGGCGATAAATCCTGAGCCTGGAATTTTCTCCCCGAAAACCTCTTCGGAGAAAATGCAGGAGGAGAAAGAACCCGGTAGACTTAGTTGATGATTTCTGAGCAAGCTAGGGAAAGAGATGGTTAGTTTTTCTTCGGGAGATGCTGAAAGGCTGTTCCTTTGCCCGTGTAGAGAAGCCCATCTTGGTCCTGGAGCCTCCCCTCCGTGTGTGTCCAGTGTCGTGCCGCGATTGTAGCCGCTGTCACTCGAGTTGTGCGCGGCGTGTGATGGACGGCGCCTTCGCGGCTCCACGAACTGCTGTGCTGCTCCTTGCAGACTTGGCCCTAATAAAAATCAAAATAAAAGCCCCGTGTTGCGTGTTTTGCGCGTTGGGGATGCTGGTGTGATTGCTTTAGCTTCAGACAATCTAGAAAAACAACTATTATGTTTTCAGTACTGAAGAATGAAATCAGCTGTTAAAAACACGTTGGTGTGGGCTGTAACTTGCATAGAGAAACTTCATCCTTAAGTCTGTCGTAGACAATAATTTAAACTACTTAAGACCACGTTGATGGTTAGTTACCACTTAGAACGAAGAAAATGCTCTGAAATGTTGTTCATTTAGAACTGCAGTTTAATACGGCCCCGAAAGAACAGGAGGAAGGGGCTAGATCTCCCTTTTCTGTGTGGCACATCTGCCATGGATTTTTTTTTTTAATTAAAAATTTTATTCATTTATTTTAGAGAGACAGAGTAGAAGAGAAAGAAATGTGAATTTGTTGTTCCACTTATTTATGCATTCATTGGTTGATTCTTACATGTGTCCTGACTGGGGATGGAACCACCAACCTTGGGGTGTCAGGAGGATGCTCCAACCAACTGAGCTACCCAGCCAGGTGTTGTGCAAAGTTTAATTGCCAAGTTGAAATTAGGCTCTGACTGTGGAATTGATTTGTTTTTTTTCATGCTGAAAGTTATCTTCACTGGCCAGGTGCCTGCTGATAATGTACTCTAATCAGCCTGTACTGACACAAAGAGAAATCCACATCTTGGCTTGACTGCTAGAATAGCCAGTTCAGACTATTAATTTCTGTAGTGTAAAGTTATAAACTATATTTGTTTCATACATTTTGCAAAAATTTTGTGAGATGTATTGGTTAGGTGCACTTTGTTCTTTTACTTTTTTTTATTATCTAAGGCTCAGCAGGTTGCCTTCCTCTTCTTTGACCTGGCCTGGCTTACGTAGCCTGTAAAGACTACACGCAGCTCAATATGGGTTGTCCAGTGCCCGGGCAGTGACTTGTGAAGAAGATACAATCTCTTGACTCATTAATGAACTTTTCGCAGTTTACAACCTGAGCATTAGTCTTTTGTTTTTTTGTTTTTAACAAGAATGTGTTGTATTAATATGTTTTACAGTAATTTTTAATGAAATAGCCACACTGATATTTCAATTTCTAGAAGTAATAATTTTGAACTAGATAGTGTTTATTTGGGAAAATTAGTTGGGGACAACTGGGACTTAGAAAGGGAAGACACTTGGAAGTGATTCTTAGGGAGAACCTGTGACAGGAAGGAAAGTTCTAAATCTGGGATTCAGGATATAAAGGTTTTAATTTTCTCTGTCACTGTTCCTTCTGCTTCAGGGCAAGTCACTCAACTTATCTGAATCACAGCTGTTATAGGTAGTAAATGTTTTCATTTTTGTACCTGGTTATAAAAATATTTACTTCAGAAAAATTGGAAGTACAGGGGGAAAAAGGCAGTTACGTGCCACATACCCAGCAGCAAACCCTGTTAATAGTTTATTTTTTTCTAATTTTTTCCCCTCTTAAACATTTTAGTGTAATTGAGAGTGTATTGTGCATACAAATTTTATTTGACTTTAATTTAAATTATTGCTTAAGTATCTTCACATATTACTACATTCTGAAAAAAAGAATTTAAAGTCTGCATGTTTCCTTAACTAACTTAACATTTGTCCTATTAGACTTTTAGACTTTTCCCTTCATATTTTGCTTATAAATTTTTGTTCTCATTTGGACTATTTATCTAGGATGGAGTGCAAGAAGTCAACTAATAAAGAGTATAGAAACTTTTAAAGCTCCTGATAGGATGTCTTTTTTATTAGATCATTTGATTCTAATCATTAAAAAAAATTTTCTTAATCCTCACCTGAGGATATTTTTTCCATTGCTCTTCAGAGAGAGTGGAGGGGGGTGAGAGAGAGAAACATCACACAAGAGAGACACATTGATTGGTTGCCTCCTGTACATGCCCCAGCCAGGGCCCAGGATTGAGCCTGCAACTGAGGTGCGTGCCCATAGCTGGAATTGAACCCAGGACCCTTCAGTCCTCAGGCTGACGCTCTAACCACTGAGCCAAACTGGCCAGCGCATATCCTAATCATTTTTAAAAAGACTGCCAGTTGCCATGTAAAAAGGTTAGAGCCAGGGAATCATGAAAGAGTGTCCCGAATTATAGCTATTATTTTTCAGTTTTGATTTATAGTAACTTAAATTAGGGAAGAACTTGCAAATTCAAATCCAGCAGATCAAACATAAGCCTTTTTAAAATTATCTTGCCCAAACCACACCATTCTGTAAAAGATCATCTATTGAGGCAAAAAATCTTACTACTTACACTAGATACCTTGTCCTGGCTTATATATTGTTGTTTTTTTAAACCTCACCCAAGGACATTTTTTCCATTGCTTTTCAGAGAGAGTGGAAGGGAGAGAGAAACAGGAGATCGGGGGTCGATCTCCAGGAGATCGGGGTTCGATTTCGGTCAGGGCACCATGCCCGGGTTGCTGGCTGCAGCCAATCAATGACCCTCTCATCATTGATGTTTCTGTCTCTCTCTCTCTCCCTTTCCCTTCCTCTCTCTGAAATCAAGACATGTTTAAAAAACAACAAAACTTGCTGTATGGATCCTGGCTGGTTTTGCTCAGTGGTTAGAGCACCAGTCCACTGATTGAAGGGACCCAGGTTCAATTCCGGCCAAGGGAACATACCTCAATTGCAAGCTTGATCCCTCGTTCCCTGTCAGGGTGCGTGCAGTAGGCAACCAATAGATGTGTCTCACATCAATGTCTCTCTCTCTTTCCTTTCCACTCTCCGAAAAGCAATGGAAAAAATATCCTTGGGTGAGGATTTAAAAAAAATAAAAAGGTGGCAGGTTCAATTCCTGGTCAGGGCACATACCCCGGTTGTGGGGAGAGGCACCGGATCACGACGTCTTTTTCTCTCCCTCTCCCTTCCTCTCTAAAATCAGTGAAAAGAAAAAATTTGCTGAATGGGTATCTGATGGTAATGGTTTGTAAGAAAATATTGGGGACAAAAGTGGAGCACTTCTAAGAAATATTTGTCACCTAAAGGTACAGAATAATATTGGATGAGAAAACATGGATATTGATAACTCTTGTGTCAAAAGTGATTCACAAGAGTTGAACTCTGTGAAGAAATTTTAGGATTATATTAAGTTTATGCTGCTTGTGTTTTCCTTTTAATGTTTATATGGGTGTTATACAAAATTCTAAAAGTCTCTTTCTATAAAATTTAAAAATTTCAAGACATAAGAAAACTTTAAATTATAGTTTAATTGCCAGCACTGTTTTGTTTTAGTAGTATATAAAAATGGTGCAGTTCACAGTGGATGCCATCACAGATTCAATGAAATAGTATTGATTGCATTTTTGTAAGTTGCTAATTTAGAACAGTCATGCAGTGTTGAACATCATATTTTAGTTTTAATTATTGTTTCAACCCTGTTTGGGTTAAGATGATCTTTTTCTTTTTTTTTAATCCTCACCTGGGGACATTTTTTTTTTATTACTGATTTTAGAGAGAGAGAAACATCCATGTGAGAGAAACATCAATCGGTTGCCCCCCTGTACATGCCCATTCTGGGATCAATCCCACAACCTAGGCATGTGCCCTGACTGGGAATCGAACCTGCAACCTTTTGGTGTACTGGACGATGCTCCAACCAACCGAGCCACCTGGCGAGGGCAAGATGATCTTTTAAATTTAGTTCCACTGCAGATTTTTACATAAATGTATTCCTTGAATTAGAATGATAATTTTGGGAGGAAAAAACAACCAAGTGACAGATTTTTCTTAAACATGGCATAGCCGAACAAGGTTTCTTGATGCTTTTCTTTTTACGTCCTAAAATAGCAAGCATTTTGAGAGATGAGAGTGTGGTCACTAGAGCTAAAAAATAAAAAAACTTCTGTTAGATCTAAATCTCTGTGGCATGGGGAAATACAGAACTGAGAACTTTGACTTTGTATATTGGCACTAGTGATTTTGTACTTTAAAAAAAAAAAATTCACTTAGCTTTCTCTTCAGAAAATAGGAAGCTAAGACTAAGTTGATTTTTAAAAACCAGCTTTTAACGTTGAGGCATTAATTATTTATAGAATAAAAATACAAGGTCATCTTTTAGATTTTAAGCTGCAGTTATGGTATTTTAATTTTTCCCTGCCCTTGAGATATAAAAAGGTTAGCATACTTTGCCTTGATATGCTGAGTTTCTTTATCTCTGATCCTTTTTACTGACAGTCTTAAATTTACTTACAAGTTTTTCCCCCTTAAAATGAAGATAATTTTTACATGTTCATTGGGGGGAAAAGAAGCCCAACAATATAGAAATGTATAAAGAAGAAGAAAAATAATAACCCCAAATTTTGCACTCAGAAAAGCATAGTTAACGTTTTATGGGCCATGTTGAAGAGGGGCAGTATGGTATTATCTTTGGATTAGGATGGGAAGGGGTTTGGCACTCCTAGAAAATAACACAGAGAAAAAGAAATAATCATATACTAAGTTATCCTGAAATAAGACATGTAAAATATTTATATATGTAATACTGTTAATTTAGCCTTGAACATTTCTGCTGATTTGTTCTTAGTTTAATTATAGACTTTACTTCATAAAAATATATCTTTGTTGTTCCTTCTAAAGTTTGTATGATGTATTTGGAAAATCCCTCTGTTTTAATGAAGTGAAATTGAGAACAAAGAATCCCGACATCTTGGCATTACTATCAAAAGGGAGAAAATGGATTAAAACTCAGAATAATTAGAGCTCTGATATTCTAGGATTTTTCCTTCCTTTAGAAAAAAAATTCTATCTGATTTATATAATAGTTAACATAAACTTCCTGCTTTTATTTTATACAGACAAGGTCTTTACTGGGTGTATTTGAAGAAGATGCTACAGCTATTTCCAACTATATGAACCAATTGTATCAAGCTATGCATCGGATTTATGATGCACAGGTAAAAAGCTAATCACTGACTGAGTGCTTTTTAAAAATGAATCTTTAAGCCCAGAGATAGTGTCTGCCTTGTTTACTGATGCCTACTGCTGACCTGGGCTCATAGTAATAAATACTTATTGAGTGGATGAATAAACATTAGCATTTTGTATTACAGAGCTCACATTTCAATCACTAATGTATAGTTTGTAGTACTACAAAAGTTTTGAAGAGTGAAGCATCTGCCCCTCCTCCCCAAACCCAGTAAGGGCTTTCTTATTGAAACTTACTGATAGTGACCTTTACCTAAGATTTGACTGAAAACCCCATATTGTCACCCATATTTTCCCTAATCATGCTTTTAATCTTATGGAATACTTCCTCTCTTTGAACAGAGGATTTGAAAGTATTTTGCCACTATTTAGATAAACAGAAGGTAATAAAAATTAGATGTAGCTCTGGGGCACAGGAGGTGAATTTAAGAAAATAGAAATGACTAGAGTTTTTTGTTGAACAGGAATAAGGTTTGAGGCTTTGTTTATGAAACTTAATTATAAGCCTTAACAACAACTTGGGTTCTATAATAAACTTTCTTTGGGATTAATTAAGTGCACTCATTTTTTTCCCTTCTAATTTTCTCTCCTTTTCTTACTACATTTTCATTACGTACTTAAAAGTTGTGATAGTTGTTGGGGTTTTTCCTTCTGATTGGTCTCTCAAAATTGGATTTCTGATCACAGATTGATATGTAAAAGAAATCTTATTTTTGTCATTCATCACTGAAAGAACACCTTTAAATTAAAAAAGTATTTCCTTCATATAGCTCTGTTGCTATATTTTATGACTAGGTTGACCACATTTTGGTTGTATGCTATTAAATGCTTATCATGGTCTAGTGTCAGCATCTACAGGGAGGGATAATCAGTTGTCAATGCAGAATCTCTTAAAATTTTGCTAAGATCTGTACAGTTACTTCTAGCTTTAAAGCTTTAACAATATTTAGTTTAATGCTTAGTTTTTATTAGTTAAAAACAAGCACACACCGGGAACGCTGCTGGTCCCTTCCTTGATGGTGTATACTTCATGGTTCGAGTTTCCTTTTAGCACTTTAATGGTAGTTCTCTTTCCAGTGATTTAATGAGGGGTTTATAGAACATGTTGTACAGTGTTTCATGTTAAGTGATAAATAAAAGTTGCGTGGGTATTTTCAACTAAAACTTTTTTCTTATCAGTAATATATTGTGTTAATTTGAATTGATCTTTTTTTATAGAATGAATTAAGTGCAGCAACACACCTGACTTCAAAACTTTTAAAAGAGTATGAAAAACAGGTACTGTATGTGAAAGTTCTAAAAGCATAATTTAAAATAGGCAATGATACAGTATCTGTATAGTTAAGTAGAATTTCTCATCAAGAATCCTAAGCTTTTTTGAATTCACAGAAGTTAATTGTGATATTCCATTGAAATTCCATTATAGCACATACCTAATTTTAATGATTTAATGTTAGATACGGAAGGTATCTAATTGACCTCTTCTTTTCACAAATGAAGAAACTGATGCTTGCTTAAGTTATACAGCTGGTTATTGGAGGAATTGGAGCTTAACACCAAATCTTTGAACTCCAAGTATGGTGTGCATTCCTATATACCATGTTAATTGATTGCTTAGCAAAATTCTAATTAATGTTTACTAATTATATGACTATACTTGTTTATTAAAATATTTTTAGAGCTTATTCAAAATTTTAGAAGTTTTCTGAAGTTATTTAAAAATCTAAATTATAATGTCATTCACAAAAGACATGCAGCATTAGCCCTTTATCTCATCTCAGTTTCTATCCTTTCAGCGTTTTCCACTGGGGGGTGATGATGAAGTTATGAGCTCTACTTTGCAACAGTTTTCAAAAGTCATAGATGAGGTAAGTATTTCATTTTGCTTGAATAAGTGGTCTTATAATTTATTCAGGTTGTTTAGCTTTTGTTGGGAACTTGTGTTATTTGATTCTATGAGTCTCTATTAATAAAAGATTACTATTTAAGAAGGACTTTCCAAATCTTGGTGGCTGTCTTATAAAAACAATACTTTCTTTGTCTGATTAAAACAAATTGTTTTCAAGGAATAAACATACAGATATACTCTCCAAGTCCATGTAACATTCAGTGTTTCATTGTCTTATTTGATGTACGTGGGGAGAGGAGAGTTAAGTGATGAGCTTGTACCTGGGCTCTCTATGGTTTTTCTTTTTTGCCATCAGGCAACATTTTACCATTCAGTTCATTAATCCTTCCATTCCAAACAGCCAATATCAACCCATAATTTTTCTAACTAGTCTCAGAACAAATCACCAAAACTGACCTGGAAGTTAGGAGGAAGAAAGGTGGTGAAAGAGGTTTGGAGAGTCCATAGCTGTTCTCTACGAGTGCGGTGAAAGCTTCTTTTCACATGCACCATTAGATAGTTCTGTCTTGTCCAGTCTCTTAACTGGAAAGTAATTTTTTGAAATATTTTAATAATTCATTATAACAAAATATTGTCCCAGCAGATCACTATAAAGAAATATTTATAGGAAATGGAATTTTTTTTATTGTGGTAAAATATACATAACATAAAATTTACTACTGGTCACATTTAGTACATTCATAGTGTTGTGCAACCGTTAGCACTGATGTTCTAGAACACTTTTATCAGCATCCCAAAGGAAACCCTGTGCCCATTAGGCAGTCACTTCCTACTCCTCCCTCCCCTCAGCTCCTGGCAACCATAAATCTGCTTTCTGTCTGTATGGATTTGCCTTTTTGAGTATTTCATGTAAATGGACTCATACAGTTTGTGGATGTTTGTGTCTGTCTTCTTTCACTTAGCAAAATGTTTTCAAGGTTCATCCATGTTGTAGCATGTATCAGATTGCATTCTTTTTTTTAGTTAAATAAAATTCCATTGAATGAATATATTACATTTTACTTATCCATTATCAGTTGATGGACATTTTGGTGGTTTTTCACCTTTTGGCTAATGCAAATAGTATTGCTATGAGCATTCGCATACAAGTTTTTTGTTTTTTTTTTGTTTTTTTTTTTAACATCAGTTTTCATTTCTTTTCATTCTGTACCTGGAGTGGGATTGCTGGTCATATGGTAATTTTGTGTTTAACTTTTTGAGGAACCACCAAACAGTTTTCCATGGCTACTGCACACTTTTCCATTCCCACCAGTAATGTAGTAGGGCTCCAGTTTCTCCACATTCTCATCAACACTTGTTATTTTTATTTACTTTTTATTGTAGCCATCGAAGTGGATATGAATCTCATCATAGTTTTTTTTTGTTTTTTTTTAAATCCTCACCCAAGGATATTTTTTCCATTGCTTTTCAGAGAGAGTGAGAGAGAGAGAGGGAGGGAAGAACATCGATGTGAGAGAGACACATCGATTGGTTGCCTCCTGCACATGCCCTGACTGGGGCCAGGGACTGAGCCTGCAACTGAACCGAGGTACGTACCCTTGGCCAGAATCGAACCCGGGACCCTTTAGTTTGAGGGCTGATGCTCCAACCACTGAGCAAAACCAGCAAGGGCTCATCATAGTTTTGATGTGCATTTTCCTGGTGGCTGATAATATTGAGCATCTTTTCATGTGTCAGTTGGCCATTTGTATATTTTTGATGAAGTGTCTATTCAGGCCTTCCCCTTTTTTCTGTTGGGTTGTTTGTCTTTTATTACTGAGTTTAAGGGTTCTTTATTCTAGATACAAGTTCCTTATCAGATACATGATTGGCAAGTATTTTCTCTCACTCTGTGGATTGCCTTTTTACTTTCTTGATAGTATCCTTTGGTACATACAAATTTTAATTTTGATGAAGTTTAATTTATATTATATGTTCTTGCTTGTGCTTTTGGTGTCATAACTAAGAAATCATTGCCAAATCCAAGGTTATCCTATGTTTTCTTCAAGAGTGTTAAATGGAATTTTTTGACTGCATATTTTTAATTATATTACATAATTTTGTATTCTCTTATTAACATCTTTTGCTAGATTTTGTTTAGTTTATGTAACACTGGTTAAATGTTTCTGTTATTTGGCCTTTTTGGTTTTCCTTTTACTAGCTTAGCTCTTGTCATGCGGTACTTTCAACGCAGCTTGCTGATGCCATGATGTTCCCCATCACCCAGTTTAAAGAAAGAGACCTGAAAGGTATTGAAGTCAAGCTTATGTTTACTTTCACTAGCTATCAGAATATTAATGCCCGTAAAATGCGTATTACTCTATATCTTAATCATTTCTGAATACAGCTTGTGCCACTTTTACTTAGTCACTAAGCATTCATAGGAGCTCCTTCTAGATGTTAAACTAGATACTGAGGAATCCTGATGTGAATAAGACATCACTTCACTTGGGAAGGTCTGGAAAAGGATATGGGCAGAGGGTTATGACACTATCTATAGGGAATGAGCCAGGTGTTGGGAAGGCTCAAGGGAGGGTAGCAGAAAGGCTTCACCAAGGATGTGACATGAGCGTTGAACAATGAAGAGGAGTTTGCCAGGAGAAAAGAGTCATTATTCTATTGGAGGGAACTAGGAAGCACAGAGGTGCGGGTTGTAGAAATACATGGCTTGTTTTGAGAATGACAAGAAGTTCAGTGTGACTGCAGTGTTGAATGTGTTGGGCATGGCAGGACACAAATCTAGAAATAGATTAGTTGGGACTTGATTATGCTAAAGATGTTCCACTTGAGTTTATAAGGAAAAGAGAAGCCAATGGAGATCTTTAAGAAGACACAATCTTTTTGTTTTTGGAGAGTGGAATAGAGTGAATTTGATGTCTAAGAGAATGGATTAGAAAGTTGTGAGAGTCCAGTGAGGTCTGACCAAGACCCAAACTGAGACAGTGGCACAGGAAATGGAGGTGTGTTTATGGGCTGGAGTGGCAGGAGGTAGGGGTACTAGCATAGCTAGCAACCCATGACTTAGTTGTTTGTGGTGGATTTTCCCCCATTTATCATCATTCAATGATAAAATGAGAGTTTTATAGAGTTGGCTCTGCTTTCTCGTAATTTACAATCTTAGAAAATTATACAGACTTATTTATAAGATATGTTGATAGAATAAAACATTGAACTAATATATCAGTGGATGGTAAAATATTTAAATTATAATGGAATAAAAACAAATGTATTTAGAGATGGAGTTAATATTTGTGGTGGTAATCCTCAAGAATGGTCATTCCAAGGTCAAAAAACAAGATTTTTTTCCTCAGTCTAAAAGGACTGAATGTCATGATCTTATTAATAAAATGTTCTTTGTTTCTTATTTAGCATTTGAACTTATTAGAGTCAATATAAAAAAAATGAATTAAGTTAGATTCTGGCACTAAGAATATTTGCGTATCTTAGAATTTGCAGGGGTTTTAAAATTTGTTTTTGTGTCATATTACTGAGTTGTGGTGAGTAGATTTTCTGGAGGTGTAATGTTGCTAATGATAGTAAATGTTCCATAGGCTAGCTGAAACACAGAGTAGCCTTTTCACTTTGAATGTTGAAGTATGAGGTATTATTTAGAGTTTTAATTATAGCTTAAATGCCAGTTACTGTTTTCTAAAAAAAAATATTAAGATATTTCATAAATATGCTACACTGAAATTATTCTTGAACTTTTCCAGAAATATTGACATTAAAGGAAGTGTTTCAGATTGCTAGTAATGGTAAGCTCTTAATACTTTACACAGTTATTTTTTGTAATGATGCATTGTTTAAATCAACACAAATCTGTGGCCAGATTTTATGCAATAATTGGAAAAAATGAATCTAATTAAAAGTTTAAGTGAACATTATTTAAATCAGTGTTGTTATTTAAGTTGTACTGTTTACCCTACAGAAAAATTTAAAAGGAAGTTAAATCAACTCTAGTGATTTGCTATCTTTATAATATCTAAAGAGGTGATATAATATTTTCCCTGCCTTGTTTTCCTATATATTCCAAGTTTTCTTTAATGAACATTTGCTATTTTTGTACTAAAAATACTTCTGTAAACTTTTAGTGGATTACATTTTCCTTTGAATTAAATATTTTTACCAATTCAATAAGTAGAAGCATACTTTAGGGGAACATTTGTTGAAAGATGCATATATGAACACCATCGAAAGCATTTATAAGTTTTGCAGGGTACTATTTTATTGTTGTTAATAGTCATTTCTGTTTTCCAGATCATGATGCTGCAATTAACAGATATAGCCGATTGTCAAAAAGAAGAGAAAATGACAAGGTATTACACATACTTACTCTTTTAGTGTCCCAGTTAACAACTGTTTCATTAGGTGGTCTAGTTTTTCCTGTTTAAAAATAGTTGCCAGCATTTATTTTGTATATTTTGCTGTATTGCTCTTAGTCTTTTCTCCTAATTATTTCAAAGCCTTTCCGATAATTGTTATCAGACAATTAGTAATTGTCTCTTTAAACAAAATACTTTTTGCTGACAAAATTTTATAAGTACACATAACTATTTCAAAAATGTAAGTGATGCCCAGTATATAACATGCTTCCTTTTGCTTTGTATTTTGATAATAGTGCATTTGTTCTGTTATTTAACCCTGTATTTGAAAAATGTCTTCTGAGATACAGTAGTTACTCATACATGACTCGGTGAAATTGTTATGAGAACTTTTTCATTCACAGGGAAAAATATATATAAATTTTTTGATACTTCTTTCAAGGAGCTAAATCCAGAAATATTACACTATATTTGAGGAGAGAAGCATTTGAGTCAAGACAAACAACAGAATATTAACAAGTTCATCTGGATGCTCCTTAAGGTCATTTCTCTCTCAGAGCCTAATCCCAGGGTAGATGAGAAGGCCTCCACCTGATGTTCGTGTGTGAGGTGATCTCTGTGCTGGGAGTGGGTGTCTGTAGCGTCGGCTGCAGGTGCTGGTTGGCACACAGTGACCACCTGTGGGAATCTGAGTGGATGGGATTTACTGTACAACAGCTGCTGTGACACAATAAAGGGAATGCTTCTCACACAAGATTCAGCAAAAGATCTGCTTTCCTGTTCTAATTTTAGTTCACTGATTACTTGATGGTATAAATATTGATAAATACATTTTGAGATCTATATTACTTTGTTACTTTGCCTTAGAGAAGTAAAGGCTTTAGGTATGAATTTTGGTATATTTTACATTGCCTCTGGCTACTACAGGTATTTTTTAAAACATTCTTTCACCAATTTCATTTCACTTAAAAATATTAATTGAGCACCTACTATATGTTGGGTACCATGGGGGGAACAGTGTGAATAGGCTCCACTCCTGCCCTGAGGGAGTGGATAAACCACATTTCCTGTGTGAAGGCATTTGACTGGACTAGATGCCAGAGCACAGGATGAAGAGAATGCATGGGTTAACACTAAGTTAAGTGCAGTAATAGAAGTCCTAGCAAAATGCTGGGAGAGCACAGAGAAGGCAGCAGCTAACTTTGGTGAATTGGGAAAGGTTACACTTGTAGGAAGTGACATTTGCATTGAAGATGAGTGGACCTCACTGGTTTGGGATTGGGGAGAAGGCATTCCTAGAGGAAAAACAGCTTTTGTAGAAGTGCATGGTAGAGTCTGAAGAATGTTAAGGTTTAAGAGTACTGGCTCTGGAGTCAGACTGCTTGGGGATGAATCTCACCTCTGCCACTTATTTGCCTGAGTTCACACGCTGGTTACTTAGTTTCAAGCCTTTATTTCTCTTTCATAAAAACTCAGTAGGTGTTAAGATGAAATGAAATAATGCATGCAGAGTACTGGGCTTATAGCAAATTTTCATTAAACTCTAGCAATAATAATAATGGAACCATAATTCTTTCATTATATCGGGAGCATAGGATGTATTTGGAGAGGTATGGCAGAGATGACAAGCAAGTAGTAGTTTGGGGCCATATTACTGTGTTCATGACTTGGAAATTTGTGTTAGAGGAAGTGGGCCACCACCAAAGGACTAAGTGAATGAATAACAGTGCACTTGTGCTACAGGATAAAAATACTAATGGAAATGTGAAGGGGACCACTGGAGGAGTCCACTGAAAAGGCATCAGAGTAGTTTGCAAAGACATTAGGAGAGTCTCAGCTAAGGTTGTTTTGAAAGTGGAGAGGAAGGAATACTTCTGGAAGGTAGTTAATAAGAATTGGTAAGACTTATGGTAGTAGTAGGAGTCAAAAATGAGTCCTAGAATTCTTAGATGATAGGATGGCTCTTGGAATAGTTAAGAGAGCTAAAAAACAAAGTAGAGGAGCAGGTTTCATGGGGAAGATGCTGTCTACATTTTTGTGCATTTCCAGCACGTCCTCCCCACCGTACACACACACAGCTCAGGTGGACATGCGCTTCCTTTAACACTTGGGAGAGAGAGGAGTAGGAGGTAAAGTTTGGGAGTCATTTGTGATGGGCTATTATTTGTACTTGATTGGTATTCTCAGGAAAGCGGGAAGGGAGAAGAGCCCAGCACATACTGCATAATAGGTGTTCAGTAAATATTTGTTGTCTGAGTACAGGAACTTAAGGGAACACTCGTATTTTAAGTGTGGGTGAAGGAAAACAAGTACAAGAGAGGAGAAGCAGCAGGGAGGGAACCAGGAGGAGAGAGTGGTACCATGTGAACTGACAAGGTCAAAGACTATGGCTAAGCTATTACCAAACAATTGTCTGCCTTTCCCCTGTGTAGTAGACTTTCTCTGCCATGCTTATTTTATTATTGTACCATTCTTAGTTATATGCAGAATTCTGCTTTTAATGTGTTTTAAAATGAAGTGGTTGGTAGTAAAACAGGAAAACTATCTTAGCCAATATTTTGCAGGATTTCTAATATCTAAGAAAATAGGAAAGCTATGCACAGTTGCTGGTGATGTACTTTTTTCTTTGGGTGTAGGCTTCACAGCCACTACTAAAGATAATTCAAAATTAAATAAATAATAATACTTTTAATCTTTTCACTTAAAGGCAAAGTATGAAGTAACAGAAGATGTCTACACTTCCAGAAAAAAGCAACACCAGACTATGATGCATTATTTTTGTGCATTAAATACTCTTCAGTACAAGAAGAAAATAGCACTGTTAGAACCTCTACTTGGGTACATGCAAGCTCAGGTGAATACTACACTGTGTTTTGGATTATAACTACCCTAAAAATTTTATATTGAGTATGATACTTATGTTAAATATAAGGATATTATATTACAATCTAAGGTCAAAATACAGTTTTGTGCTTGTGTTTTAAAAAGTAATTTTAAAATGTCATCAGGATGTTATTTTAAGGAAGTTAGGGAGAACGGTTTTCCTTGCAGATGAAGATTTCAGATATTTTATGGTAAATGAAACCACTTACCTTGTATTTAGATCTTGATTGTCACAGTTGGGGACAGGGAACCAAAAGCTAAGTGAATTGTGGAGATACACCTATTGCTGGAGCTTCCACTCATTCTCGCTTCATGATAGATTCGAAAGAGAAGTCTGAGTTTGCTTCATGTTGTTTGCATACTTCCTGAGTTAAAAACATTAATGAACTCCAAAGTGTCCCAAGAGGTGTGCATCAGGAAGGGGGCTAGAAAATTAAATTTGGCTAGTATGAGATGACAGCCCCCTAAAGATAAGAGTTTAAGGAAATATGAATATTTCTTCAAGTATGAGTATTATTATTCCTCAGGTAAAAAACTTTTTTACCTTTGTATTATACATGAAATAGTTTATCCATATGACTTACTTGAAATGTTTTAAAATTTATTTTCCAATTTAAAAAAATTGCTTACCATATGCATGTATTAATATATAAAACCAACGTACAGTGAAATTTAAGTTTAGTTTCTTCAGTGGCTTCATGCCCAGTAGAAGTCATTGTAAACTACAACCTATTTTTACACAGATGGGAATAATCCTTTCATTTTTACTTACCCATGTATCTTGGAATTTGTTTATATGATTCACTTAAAGTATTTTGTTTGTGTATGTGGGTGTTTCTGTTGTTCACCCTCCCACTCTCACACCCTCTTGCCTCAGATAAGTTTCTTTAAGATGGGTTCTGAAAACCTCAATGAACAACTGGAAGAATTCTTAACTAATATTGGAACAAGTGTACAGAAGTAAGTATTTTCTTCCTTAAAATTGAAAATGAAGTTATGTGAATGATAAGTTAACAGCTAAATGTCATAATCTAAAAATATTTGCCATTTAAGTCCCTGCCATGAGAGTGTTGCTTGCATGACTCATGGACATTTCCTGGTTTTTCACCATCTTTTCCACAGAATATGAACTGTGAGTTTCATAACAGTGTCATATCTGATGGTATTTTATTGATTCTAAACTAGGTTTTATGTCTGACTATAACAGACACATAATAGTAATTATCCATAAGTGAATTATCTTCATGGTTACCTGAATTGTGGGGGATAGATGGGAGATCACTAAATAAATCTTGTTTTTCAAGCCATGAAAGCTAAAAGAGAGAAAGAGAAAGCAGTTCTAATCAGGTTCAGAAGTCTGAGCAGTGATATAGTCAATCTCAGGTATAGAGGGAGGTGAAAATGATTGTTGTTTTAAAGGCTCAGGACAGAACAGTTTGAAAATTCCTCTAGAGTCAGACATTGAATGTATCTTCATTAATATCTGTTTTAAATAAAATGTAAAGCTGTTTTATAACATGTTCATGTTACTTTACCCATACCACTGTTGCTCTCTTTAAGAAAATAGATACAAATAAATTTCAGATAAACATGAGTGGTAAGGAGTCCTTTGTCTGTTGTGGTTGGTAGTAAATAACCTGTTGTTTGTGTTAGTGTTCGCAGGGAAATGGACAATGATGTAGAGACCATGCAGCAGACAATAGAGGATTTGGAAGTAGCCAGTGACCCTTTATATGTGCCTGACCCAGATCCCACGAAATTTCCTGTTAATCGAAACTTGACCCGAAAGGCTGGATACCTTAATGCTAGGAAGTAAGAAAACTATTGTTATTTTTATATATTGTATGTCATTTAAAGTAGTAGCAAGTGAATATAATATGTAATTGATATTGTCTGCCAAATTGTTTTGATTTTACTAAAGGTTAAATCTTGTTAGTGGTATTAGTATTTATGTGAACTTTTTGACCTGTGGGATTCATGAGTGATTTTCAGAAGTAACAAACTGTTTAGATATTTATTGAATAGTTTAGAATTATTTAAAAAAGTGAAACCAATTTGAGTTTAAATTTAGCATAATGTGAATGCTATTAAATGTTATTTATCATACTTTAAAATATATGTAATTATACCATCAAGTCAAAATTTAGTTTTTAGCTGAAGATAGGATAAAGCAAGTTAACCATAGGAGTGAAATAAGTTCTTTTGTTTCTAATTTACACCCTTTAATAGTTGAACTATATTTTATGGAGCATCATTATAATAGCTGCAATTTGATAATTTCCAGCCTTGTTTTGGAAAATATATACACATACTCACAAGTGGTCAGCATACATGAATTTATTTTAGAGACTGAAAAATGGATATTTATATTTTCTAGGTGCCTTGGTGCCTTTTTGCGGGCTGGTCCTTTGTGCTGTGCTTTATCTTATGTCTGGCTTATGATGAGATTTCATGCGTGTTGTAATTAAAGAGTGAATGCACTTTCTTCATTTAGTAAAACAGGCTTGGTGTCATCTACCTGGGACAGACAGTTTTACTTCACTCAGGGTGGAAACTTAATGAGTCAGGCCCGTGGGGACGTAGCAGGAGGCTTGGCCATGGACATAGACAACTGTTCAGTAATGGCTGTGGACTGTGAAGACAGGCGGTACTGTTTTCAGATCACCTCCTTTGATGGAAAAAAGTTAGTATTTTTCCTACTATTAATAAAGTCTGTAATATTTTAAACTACTGAAATGCAGGATAATTCCTTTTCATTCAGACACTTTATAGGTATTTTAGGCTTTTTATGTATTAAGATAATTTTTGTGTAGAAATGAGTTGAATTGTCCTTTCTGACCTGGTTAAATGATGTCTTAGTATTTTAAAGTTATCAAAGCGAGGTCATATGGTAAAGACCAGCAATTTCTTGCTAAGACTGGTCAGTGAAAATCCTGCATGGTGTGGGGAAGGCAGCACAAGTTAGTGGAAAGAGCCCCAATCTTGGGGTAAGAAAGTTCAAATTTTGGACCCACTACTTACTGCGTGGTCTTAAACAAGTTACACAACCTCCCTGAGCTCCATTTTTGTACATGTAAAATTGGGGGAGGTCATAATCCCTATTTTGATAATTGTTAATGAAAAATTGAAATCTAACATATGTAATGTGTCTAGCATGTACTAGGTGCTAACAATAATAAATATTTCTAATCAAATTATTTACATACCATTTAAAAATTTTCTGTTATGTTTGCATTAAATGAGAATCCATAGAACAAATTTTTGAAAAGCACAGAAAAATATAAAAAGGAGTATGAAAAAAAGCTATAATCTCACTAACCAGAGCAACAATTAACTTTTTGGTCTGTTGCCTTACAATTTTTATTTTAATTACAGTTTTTAAATAGTTGAGGAAATACTGTATATATAATTTGGATCTGTATTCACTTATTAAAAACATTTTATAACGGTTGTATATAATCCACCTAAGGATACACACCATAATTTACAAATTTTCCTAATGATAGATGTTTAAGTTATCTGCAAAATTTTCCTACTTAATTGTTTTTTATCTTTCTTATTGTTCAGAGCAGCTCTGGGTTCTCTGAAAGTCATTTTCTCCCTATATTTATGTACATCAAAATGGTTGTTTAATTTCGTATTCCTTCTATAAGCATATAGTGAATGTCAATTACAATATTACTGTGTACCAGTAATCATGCTAGATGTTGGGAGTCCCCGTATTCATTTGTCACAATTACCAAACTGTTAATAACTCATTATAAGTACTTATCTTTTTGTATTTTCAGTTTTTTGTTAATGTTTGACATGATTTCCCATTTCACATTCCTGATTTGATTAAAGATTAGTAAAAATTATTTTTTTCTCTAACCCTTAAAACATGAACATCTATAGAAAAACTAAATATCCCTATGTTAGCGGTTAATATATATTGAAAATTTTTATTTAACTTTATTCCATAAGAAATAATCAGTAATGAAGTAAAATTAGTGTTTTATATTAGGGTCAGTTATTTATATTTGAAGTATGGGTATCAGAAGGTTGAAATGGATTGTCTTAGTTGCAGTGCACCTTTGCTATAGGCTATCTTCTGAAAAGTAGCACCTGTTTCTTTATTGGTACAGTTTGGCATAGATAGCCAGTCAGGAGTTGTTAAAATCTAAGTCCTGGTGCCTCTGGTGGTCTCCTTTTCCTAAGATACTAGTTGGTTATGTGTATTGTGTGGGGGGGTTTTTTTTTTTTTAATACTGATTGGTTTTATACATACCTTTAAAGATAAAAAGAATTTCTCAGATCATGTTAAAAGTACTTTAAAAGAAGTTGAAAGTCCAATTCTTCTTTTTCTTTTTTTTCAGATCTTCAATTTTGCAAGCAGAGAGTAAAAAAGACCATGAAGAGGTAAAATTTTATCCAGTTAATTTCTTCAGCAACATCTGAAGATATTTTGCTGATGACAAAACAATATGTTCATTATAGAAATTTGAAAAATTCTGGTTAATTAAAAATACCTTTTAAATAGAAGTTTATTGTCCTTAAACAACATTCTTAAGTTTCTCAAAGAATTTTATAGTTGGACCTCTGAGGAGAGAACCTTAGAGATCATCTCTCCCCTGTCTTTTTAAAGGCTCTGATTGAGAAACGACCTTGTGACTGTTGCTTTCTGGCAAGCTATTGGTATCATGAGGTGACAGTTTAATTTATTCACTTCTCTCAGCAACCCTTTAAGAAAGTATCTGCTGCATTAAGAATCTAGTGGCCGCAGACGTGGCATGGCAGGAAGCAACTAAAACTTAAACCTTAGGGAAATGAAAGACAGAAGAACAAAAGTTTGGAGTGTCTCTTCTTCCTCACAAGTATTTTATTTCTGGCTCCATTTTTACTTGTAGTACACCAAATATGGAAGGTAAGTTACTGTTAACAACTGATGCTTCAAAACTTTGTCTTGAGAAATAGTCTTCAATGAAAATGTATTATAGGTTGATTTTGAGCCATTTTATCTGATATTATAATTGTTTTGGTAAAAGGCAAGGTTACAAATTATGTAAAGATCTACATTTATTTACTACTTGTGGAAAGAGTAGGTATTAAAACTTGGCTTTTGGTCTCTGAGGCACACAGACAAATGTCTGCTCTCTGCAAGGTTTACTAAACAGAATATTAGTATAGTTTAGTGAGGCTCATCAAGCATTGGACCTCTCGAGAGAGAAACAGAAGGTGTGAAGCAGAGAGAGTTTTCTATGTCAATTTTTTATAAACCTGAAAGAAGGGAAGTATGTAAAATATATTTACCAGGAATACATTTAGCTCCTAATTTTTTTGCATTGGTGTTAATGGTATCTGAGTCCAGACTGTCTTATTTGGTGGGGATTAAGGAGGAAGTAGTATAAAAAGATAAATACAGACTACTAAATTATAATTGAACATGATTGCTATATTTTTTTATTTCCTTGTATTAAATAAATCTGGGACTTAAAAATAATAAATCTGTTCAGTGTTCTGTTATACCCTCATATATTATTGCATGTATATGCTTATGTATATAGGAAGATATTTATCTCATAAGAAAGATTATGTGTTACTTCTAATGAAACATATTTCATTCAAATATTGAACATTCTCTTTTAGAAGAGGAGCATCGTAGAAGAATTATTAATCATATTTTCTATTTTTTCCTCTTGCAGTGGATCTGTACAATAAACAATATATCTAAACAAATATATTTAAGTGAAAATCCAGAGGTAATATTTTTATTTTATCATATCTAGATCTGGCAAAATTTAAATAATTCTTGGCTAATACATTGTTTATTAAGTCATAATTCTCTCAAGTTCTGTAACCTTATTAATTTGCCTTTGAATGAGTAGCTTTAATGTATCATGTATATAATGAGTAATCTGGTCTTCCTAGAACAATAAATTATTTCAAAGGTACTGAAATCAGTCAATAAACAAATATTTACCAGGCCCCGACCTTGTGTTAGCTCTGTGTTGAGCACCATGAAGAAGGGGGATGGAGAAGAAAACTAAGCCATGGCCTCTGTCCTCCAGGAGCTTATGTGTGTGGGAAGACAGGACTAAAACTTCAGCATTTCAAATAGAACAGTATGTAATTGAAAACACTGTGATGACTAAAAGCCTAGGACTTGAGAACGTTAAGATGAGTGTGGACTTTGGAGAAAACTGTGGAGATGGTGGAAACCTGAGCTGGGTAGGCTTTGTCCGTGTTTTGAGGAAAAGAAAAGACATTGCAGATAAGAGAACAGAAGTAAAAGCACAAATGTGGATCTGGTATGAATCTAGTTGTGTAATTGGATTTGAAGGTTCTTGTTGGAGAATAGAAAACTGAAATGTGCATACCAGTCACCTGGGGATCTTAAAATGCATTCAGTAGGTCTCCAGTGAGGCGGCCTGGATTCTTAATTTTGCCAGTTACCTCAAGTAGCAAGGGTATCAAACCAGATGAACTCAGCACTGTAGACATAGCCATGGGTACAATCCAGGAAGAACTCTGGAAGGAATAAAGGGGTTCCACATTGCAGTGTAGTTGGGAAAAGACTTGGCTTAGGACAGGAGCTGCCTCATGTGCTATATACCTAGGCACTTCCCACGGCTGGGCGGGGGCTAAGGATTTCAGCTGAGGCAGAGGGAGGGCTAATTCCTCCAGAAAGTCCTCACCCTTCTAAGCCTTAAACTGTTGGTATAATGGTTGATTAGATGGGAGTGTCTGGGGATATACAGGAGTCCATTATCATAGTTCAGGTATGAACTGAGGAAAGAAGAAGCAGTGAATCATAGAAACAGGTAAAAAGAAATTGACTGAGCTAGTTAGCAATGGACTGATATAAAGGAGGAAGGAGACAAAGATGACTTCCAGGTTTTAAAACCAAGTGAAGGGAACATTTTGGAAGAGTTCTGTTTTTTGTTTTAATCATAATGGCTTTGAGGTGCCCTTCTAACACATACGATTTAGATGCCTAGGAAAAAGTTTTGAACCAAAGAAGCAAAATCTCAGACCTCCAAAATATTAGTAGTTTCTCATAGTTTTAAAATAATCTTATGAGTTTAAGAAATCAGTGCACACTGTAGAGAAGCCTTGTGCTTTTAGTAACTTGATTTCCTGTCAATCTACTTTTCCTTTCTGTTACGTTAAAATGCAAAAAATTAAAATGCAAAGTAGATGACTTGTTAATACCTGGGGAATACATGAAAATACAGTGTTTGGCCTTGAAAATTTCAGGCTTATTGTACTTTCCTATCAAGGATCAGAACTTAAGTTTTAATTATTATTTCCCAGATTATCCAGAATTATTTTATCTATATTAATGAGAGAAGAAATTTTGATCAGTTTGTGGCATTGTCTTAGTAATTTTGCTAACTATAATACATAGAAATGTAAAAATACTTTGCGATTATTTTTTCTAATGTAAATGCCATTTTATTCAGCCAGTGTTTTAAATAAAAGAATACATTTATGAATATTTCTTATTGAAAGCTTTCTTGCTTTCAATTTTTGGTCTGAAAATAACCATGATAATTTTATCAATTAATTAATACATACATATTTTTAAGCATAAATTGATTCTGAAAAAGTATAAAAACTTCAGCATAGTTATAAAATACTTTTATATTTTGTGACTATTTCCTACTCCTTCTAAATTTCTTTATTTAGCAAATGTATTGAGTGTCCAGTACGCCAGACACTGTACTAGGTGCTAGCAATACAAACCTTAATCCAAAAAATCTCATAATTAAAAATGTAAAGAAAAAAAACAGTATTTCCTAATATGTAGATAGCAGGAAAAACTCAGATCCTCCCCCCCACACATTTACAGGAAGTAAGAGAAAACAAGTTATAATTCTGGAAAGTTAATTATGTGTCTTAATATTAAGACAAAGTACATGGAATACTCTAGTAACTCCAATTTACATTTTATGTGTAATTCAAGAACATTTCGACAATTCAGAGTTATAGTCAAACTTTTGGTTTTCTTGCTTTACTAATGTTAGTCCTTTTTTTAAAAAAACAGGAAACTGCTGCACGAGTAAATCAGTCAGCTTTGGAAGCTGTCACTCCTTCCCCATCTTTTCAGCAGAGGCACGAGAGCCTGCGGCCAGTGGGGTGAGTTGCCAGACTGTGGGTTAGTTAGAGAACCGTATGGGGTATTGAACACTTCAGTTTTTAGCAGTGCTGCTTAGACTAGTATGAAATAGTTCCCAAACAACATAGAAACTGTATTTTCAAATTGGTAAATTTACTAGCCAAGAGTGCTAAATAAATAATTCCAAATTTTCTTAGTGTTTATCTCTAGATTGAGTGATTTGTATTTTTGAATTTAATAATTGGAAAGAAAAGTTTATTGTTAAATAAGTAGCTGTGGTTTGGGATTGTGTCTATTAAAATTTGTTCTACTCTTCTCATTGACTTACAAAATTGTATTTACTTTTCTTATAGTTTAAGTGTTCAATTTCCAAAAGAGAAAACTAAATGTAATGCCTTCTTTTCTTTTGTGCTTAGACAATCTCGACCATCGACAGCTCGAACCAGCAGTTCAGGATCCTTAGGATCTGAGTCCACAAATTTGGCTGCCCTCTCTCTAGATTCTCTCGTTGCTCCAGGCACCCCAATACAGTTTGACATCATTTCTCCCGTGTGTGAAGATCAGCCTGGGCAGGGGAAAGCCTCTGGCCAAGGAGGCAGGTGGGTAATGGCATCACAGGGATATTGTGTCTGTGAAGTTTATGATTCCATTTCTATGTTTGAGAGTCATCTCTTACATAGTGCGTGCATCAGCTATGTTGTACCTTGTTGAATTAATTACCTAACATAATTTTGATAGTTGGGGAAGAATCATGGCAGGTTTTTCTCTCTGTTTTCTGCCTTAGATAAATGAGTTAAGATAATTTAGTTTTTAAAAATATTTAATTCTGAATTGCTTATTAGCTCTTAGGTATTTGCTATTAAAAAGAAAGCTGACAGGCCTATCTTTAGGTCGTGACAGTATTTTTAAAATTCTTGAGAGTAATACATGTGCTATAGGTTTATTAGAAAATATTATTCTGTATCAGAATAAGAAATCTCCAGGAAGGTACTAAATCATTATTATACTATGAATTATTAATGAACCATCTTTTGTTTATATAATGAGAAATATCCTGTCAAAGCATTAAAATTTTTCTTTGGCTGTGGATGAAGGAAACGTGACTTAAGGCAAATTACTTATTAAGCAGGTTAGACACCTAATAAATTGATGATATATTAATTTGGATATATATGGCTGTAACCAAGAAAAGGTAATTTACATTTGATCACAGAAATATAATTAGTATCTGATATAATAGATCAGTCAGACATGTACTAGGGAGATAATTTCCTGTTAACTTAATGCCAATGTTATTTTAGAACCACTTAGAACTTTGCTTATAAAACTAACTTTGAATTGTACTTTTTTGCTTCATTGTGGGTGTGCAGGAGCCAAGCACACTAAGGAGGGAGGTAGCTTCCATCTCTGGTTAGCTTTCCTTCTTGCATTGTTTTTCTAGTTTAAAACTAGAAAAAGTTGAAATTATCATAGTTAACTTGCAACATATACTTAGAGAATCTAAAAAGAGGTCTTTACCATCCCAGGAAATGTCTGGCATTTTTCTCAAGTAGCTAAAATTGAAGCTAAATCAGCTGTTTCTCTGTCTTAGTTTATGTAAATTCATGAAATTTTGCAACGTGGTTTATTATGATGTTGATTTTTGTGTGTGTATGTAGCTGAACTTCCAATCCATCCACATTTTCTAAAATGCAGCAACTTTTGAGTTCAGCCTATTAGCTCAGTCTGAGAGCTAGGGCCTTCATCTGAGTAAGTTGGTCATCAGTAGTGTTCCTTAACTGGATGGGGTATTTTAGAATTTTATTTATTTATTTTTTAAATTTATTTTTTTAAATATATTTTTATTGATTTCAGAGAGAGGAAGGGAGAGGGATAGAGAGAGAGAAACATCAATGGTTAAAGAGTCGTCATTGATCGGCTGCCTCCTGCAACGCCCCCTACTGGAGATTGAGCCCGCAACCTGGGCATGTGTCCTGACTGGGAATCGAACCACGATCTCTTGGATCATGGGTAGATGCTCAACCGCTGAGTCACGCCCGACCGGGCTAGAATTTTATTTTAAATGTATGTACAAGGTTTCATGACTTAGTTTTTAACTCAGGTTTCAGTGATTGATAGTCCTTCCATGTGGCTCATTGTAACTAACTGTTCGTTCATAATTTTTAAAAAACTTTTCAGGCGTACAAATCCATTTGGAGAATCTGGAGGAGGTACAAAATCTGAAACTGAAGGTAAAACATGTGCAGTATTTTTATGTTTTAGAAATTTTAAGCAGTAAACTGTGAAGAATTTGTTGTTTACATTTGTTCTGCTGTATGCTGCTTTAATGGTATCTTTATTTACTTCACAATTTTCTCTTTACTTAGTACACTTAAAGCAACAGAACTTAATTGGATTTAAGATTTTGTTATTCACACAAAATTACAGAATATTTTATTTTTGACCTCATAGTCAGAGTCTTAATGCATAAGATGTCCTTTAAGTTTTTCCTTACAGCAGATGTTTTCTTCTGGTACTGGAGCATAACTTTTTTTTTTTCTTTTTCTAGTAGCTATTTATTTTTATTTAATTTCAAACTTATAGAAAAGCTGTAAGAATAGTACAGGAGTTCTTTTGAGTTAGAGCCACCAATTGTTGAAGCATAATCTTTGCTATTTGAATTTGAGACCTTAATTCTCCTATAACTTGAACATGGTAGTTAGGAGTTATCTAAATATTTCTGCTAGGTTGAATTTTTCACTGGAAAATCTAAAAGGAGGCAGTGTATTTTATTCTTTAGGTAAAAAAAAATGTGGGATTTAAAAATACATAATGTACCTTGTTCTGTCGTAGATTCTATTCTTCATCAGTTATTTATTGTCCGATTCCTTGGTTCTATGGAGGTGAAATCAGATGATAATCCAGATGTTGTTTATGAAACAATGCGCCAAATCTTAGCTGCCCGGGCCATCCATAACATCTTTCGTATGACAGAATCGCATTTATTAGTCACTTGTGATTGTTTGAAGTAAGTAGTAACCTCTCCCTCAAAAAACTGTAGGAAAAACATGAATATAATTCCAGCCTAATTAAAATTTGTTCAAATTTTTAATTATTATTATAGGTTAATTGATCCACAGACACAAGTTACAAGGCTTATGGTGAGTTCTGCATGTTTAAAGCTTTAAGTCTCTTTGGGCATAAACACACCTTTTACATTAGTAATCATGATTCTCTGTAGTCAGATATGGTAGTATCAATTACAATCGGTCTTTAGGTTGTTATAATTAAGTCTATGGCCATCTCTCCAAAAAAGTTACAATCGAACATTCCATATAGCTTAAAGAATCAATACAGTCTGGTGTGATACGTAGTGTTTATCCCTTAGCTAGGGAGTATATATCACTAAAGAAACTAATAGTGGGATTGCCCTGGCCGGGTAGCTCAGTTGGTTAGAGCATCGTCCCGACAAGCTAAGGTTGTGGGTTCAATCCCCATTCAGGGCACATACAAGAAGCAACCAATGAATGTATAAATAAGTGGAACAACAAATCAGTGTTTCTTTCTCTTTCTCTCTCTCTTTCTCTCTACCCCCGCCCACCTTTCCTCTCTCTCACTAAATCAGTAAATTTAAAAAAAAAATTTAATTTAAAAGGAAAAAAAAGAAAACTAATAGTAGTAGGAATTAAAAGGGGAACATGATTGAGTTTATTTTATAATTAGCTATTTTGAAAGAGTTGCAACTATGTGCTTCTATTTAATCATTTCATAATATATACCACTTTTGTTACTGAATTTGACTTTGTAAAATGTGTTAATGACAGTAAAACAATTCAGTATTCAACAACCTCTTATTCTGTCTGGCAATCCAAACCAAATATGATATTACTTGTTCTTGAATTACCATTCTGTTAAGAAAAAAAAAAAGGCTCTAATGTTTTATTTAGGACATTTTTATAACTTAGCATGAGTTTGTTATGGTAAGAGTGCTGTTGCAATGGCTTGAAAAATCTCATGTTTGCTTCTTATATTTTCTGTGGCAGTTTCCATTACCTAGTGTAGTTTTGTATGCTACACACCAGGAAAATAAGAGGCTTTTTGGATTTGTTCTTCGGACATCTGGAGGGAGAAGTGAAAGTCATCTGTCATCTGTCTGCTATATATTTGAATCAAACAATGAGGGGGAAAAGGTACCTGGCTTTTCAAAATGTGTCTCTGTTGTGAAATACATATCATAGTCAAAGTTTACTAAGATTTCTGGAAAAAACTCAAACTTTGCCTAGTGCAACTGAGTTGCTTGACCAAAGCCTGTTCTGAAGAGAGCTGAGCTGATGTATTGGGCCTTTTGAGTTCTTTAGACTTACATCGTTCTAGCCATTGATAGCTAGTGCAATCTTTTGGCCATATTAATTTATCTTGGCAATGCAGTATATTCCTGTAAACAGCTATTTTTAGATGTCTTTAGCTTAGAGTAGCATCAGCAGCTGCTTGCTTTATTCTTTGCAGACCTTACTATCTCAGGGACAAATCTGAGGTAATAAGAAGTGGGTTATGTTAAAAAGGTGACAGCCAGCATTTGAAACTCACAGACTGAGGAAAGTACACAAAGTCTTGGTTTGGAGCTTGGGACATTCTTAAATCAGCTTTTTTTTGAAGCAGTGTATTATAATGAATTATAAAACATTCACCATTTGGATACTTGAAATTCTTACTTTGATAGGAGAGCTGCCTGAGTTTTTTCTACTTTTCCCTCTTTTAGATTTGTGATTCTGTTGGACTTGCAAAACAGATAGCTTTGCATGCGGAACTGGTAAGAATCCAAGACACTTAATTATCCAGAATGTTAACTAAAGTAATGCAGGATTTTCATATTGACAAATAAAATGGTTTTGCTAAGTAATGTTAACTTTGGATACTGCTCCTGATTTGGCATTTAGAATTGGGTGAATAGCTAACATAGAATGTAAATGTTTGGTGTGCTTTCTCATATAATGCAGAAAATAATTTGAAAAGGTTACAAAGGTAATATTAATTGAAAAGTCTAAAATTTAAAGTTATTTCCTATTTAATTCATTAGTTGTATTCATCTGTTCTTCAGGATCGTAGGGCATCAGAAAAACAAAAAGAAATAGAGAGAGTAAAAGAGAAGCAACAGAAAGAACTCAGTAAACAAAAACAAATTGAAAAGGTATGCAGCCCTCATGTCTGGATCCTCTCTGACGTGATCTTTGTAAAGTTTCCTTAATTCAGCCCTGTGACTTCATTCCAATGAAGGTCTGTTTCTGCTTGCTCAGCCACTTCATGACCAGAGAGTTCATAGCACAGCAGAAAAGGATGGCATCTGTCTTCTGAAAGGATGTTTATGTTACAGTTACACTGACATATAGAGTAACTTGCCATTTAGCAAACATATCAGAACCTCCATGTTTTCATATTCCAGTGAAGGTTGTCTCTGGCAAAGCAGATTTTTTGAGAGGCTGTGTCATACAGACTTAACTGCCATTGCAGAAATCCACATTGGCCTCTAGGAATGTGTGTGTGTGTGTGAGTGAGTGTGTATAATATATAATATATATAATATGTAAAATATAAATATTTAATGTTACCAGGAGTGTCAAATCATTGTCTGTCCAATAGGATAATTTTAAGCTTAGACAAATTTTAGAACAAAATCTGGAGAATGCATTAGATAGGTGATAGATGAGACTGAAAAAGCCAGTTAGGGGGTGTGGCATTGACAGCAGTGGAAAAGATAACTGGAATATTTCATGAGAACAGGTCAACAGGAATTGTCAGTGGAGTGGATGTATGGGCAAAGGAGAGGGATGTGGCAAAGATGACACTGAAGTCAAGGCTTCCTTGATAGATTAGACTGAGAGAAGATGACACAGATTTAGCAAGATTAATTGGGCAAAGGTGGAGAAGAGAGCGCAGAGGAACGGAGGGGATGCGAATGTTTTACTGTGGAGTATAGTGAGAGAGCACGATGGCCTGAATTTGGTTGGTGACCATGATAATGGAAGAGGAAATGTTGGTTTTTATAGGATTTATAGAGTGGAACCAGAATTCACTTTGGTGCTGCATTGGTTGGTGTAGCCTTTCTTTTCAGTAAGTTGCCAGATTTATGCATTATTTTGTGACAGAAGGATTGAAGTGGTTCTCAAGTATGTATTTTAGAAGCATAGTTTTCCATTTGATTGCAAACAATTAACTTAGTTTCTTTTCTGTCTTTTCCACTAGGACTTAGAAGAACAAAGTCGGTTGATAGCTGCTTCCAGTAGACCAAACCAAGCCAGTGGGGAGGGGCAGTTTGTTGTCCTTAGCAGCAGCCAGTCAGAAGAGAGTGATTTGGGAGAAGAAGGAAAGAAGAGAGAGTCAGAAGCATAAACTTAGCCTTGTTTTTGGTTGATAATTCCCCCCTTCAAATTTATTGACAGTTTCTGTGGTGAAATGACACAAGGTAACAACTATGTTGAAATATCAAGGAGGAAACTAAAGTTTATATTTGTGTGTTTGTTTTAACTTCATTTTAAAAAATAAGATTGACCTTGATGGCTTAGGTTTGCATTGATTTCTTTTCCTCAAAAATAATACACTATGCAGTAACATCAAATTCCATATCTAAAAGAAGCAAGCCTGTTCATCTCCCTAAAGTAGATTGCTGAGGAATTACACTTGCTCAAGCCTTTTTCCCTTCAAATTGTGAATTTATTATCTTGCATTGTAACTAGCCATGACCCTAAGAAATCATTTATTCTTCAGCTTCAGATACTCATGGTTATGCTCCCTCCCTTTCATTAAGAACATTTTGTTGGTGGTCCGCGCTCCCCGGAGCACACCTGCACCTTTCCCTTCCCCATCCCCCTTTTCTTCCCCCATAAGCATGCAGGTCCTAAACTCTAAGGGACCCCAGGGGACTTGGAACCAGGGGAGCAATGGGCATTGGCAGCTCATCCCGGACTAACCCCCTGAACCTGTCTCCAAGGCCCCTTTTTCTCTGACTTTCTAGTGAGCTGACAGCAGCCCCGCCTTGGCTCACTTCTTTCACTGTGACTGTTACTTCTCAGTGAGTCTACATAGCCCCCCACCTAGGCTCTCCTGTTGCTTCTCTGTCCTAAGCCCTTCCTTGTTTCACTGTCCTGGCTGTAATAAACATACTCTCAAAAAAAAAAAATCATTTTGTTGGTGGTTAGGAAGCTTTCAACTGGATAGGTTCAAAACCCTTTATACAGAGAATTCTACAAGTTTGCAAATATTTTAACTATTAAATGTGCAATAGAACTTTTATAAAATAATTAGAAAAGACATTTTAGACTTAAGGTTTTAAATTGTGGCAGGTGGTACTGTTGATTTCAGGGCACTTTCTTAGATTGCTTACATTTCTCTGATGTACTGCACCTGATGCCATCGGGAAAGAAGCTTAAGTGTTTTCAGTTCAGTTACTGATACATCCCTGGGCATTTTATTATCACAGTCTTAGTTCTCAGGTTGGAACTTGAATTATTGCTGCAGAGCAGTAATGGTTAAAATAAGATTTTGGAATTTATAAAAAGGGATTTTTGTTGTTTAAGTACATTTTAGATTAGGATTTAACATGTAGATATTGTTACAGGATAATACATTGTATTTTTTGCATTGAGTGAGGTAATTTTTATTGAAAATCAAGTGACTTTTCAAAAGAAGTTCTATAATAATTATGTTTTCTGCTTAAAATAAAAATTCCCAGAGATTAGTTTAGAAAATGTAGAATCTAAATTTCAGACTGATACCTATAGTATTTTCATAATCCCATGTTTTGATAACATACTGATCACCACTTTATATCCACAAAAGCAAATAACTAATATATGAGAATAGAATAATTTGCACTAATTATTGTAAATACCTGTATTCTTCAAATGAATGAAATGTCTCATTCCATGAAAGACTGAAAAGGAATTGAATGCTTGGAATAGGAGAGTTGACCAAGGAAGGATTTTAGCTCAGTGTCAAGGTTAAAATGACATTTCTCCACTGCCTACTTCTATGTCAACACTTGATTTTTTTTCTTTACTCAGATTTTTAACATTGCTGATAGAAATTATGTTCCTATGTTTCACATGTCAAAGTGTATGCAGACAAGTTATACTGAATGAATTGTTTTACATAGTTACACATTTAAAATTTTCAAAAGATTGGCCACTAAGACTAATTTTACAAGGGAAAAAGGCCTTTTGTTTTTTTAATATACAGTTTTTCTTCTTAGTTCTGAATTAGAAGTGGCATTTGTTTAGTTTCCACAATATAGTGGGACTGTTTCACGCCATATGTATACTGTTTTCTGTAGGAACGGGATAGGTAATTATATATAAGATCATGATACTCTTTTATCCATGTGCCAAATGGGAATAATGATTACTTGACAATCATTATTGTGAAGCCTTATGTTACCAAAACATTTAGTAAAAAATAAAATAGTAGAAATTTATGGGATACTTTTAAAAAAAGTTTATTTTGTGCGTACTAAAGGGAATGCTTTCACAATAGTTTGTGTATCATTCCTTTTATAGGAGTTGAAATTTCTTCTGTGGTCATCACTTGATTGGTCTTGCAAGTCATGCTTTTTGGGACCTTTTTGAGAATCAGTAAGCGTTCTGTTTCATTAAGTCTTTTATTTATATATTAAGTTGTCAACTCACTTAGCTCAGATGAAATGTGTCACCCTACAAGGAAAGTGGTCAGCATTAGGAGGCAATTTTACTAGGCTGGTGCTTTACATGGCAGCGAAGTGCTTCCCTTTGTTAGCAATCTGGTCAAAGTGTGGGGTAGCGTTAAGGGTACTAGAAGGCGTGGGGATGCATGGGGATGCGGACAGACTTATAGTTCCTTTTAAGTCATGTTTAGGTAGGAATTTCCACAATAAAACACCCTGTCCATAGGTCAACAGAAGTCACGTGTGAGTTTAATAATTTTAGATGATTCACCTTCTGTTCCATTATTATAGTACCGTATGAACTATTCCATTACTGCAGATATTTAATAAACTTTTTGATTAAATAAGGCTGCCCATGGGTTTCTGCATACTGTTAAAACCGATCTTTGTTACCCTTTGAAACCCCTTCTAGGTTTGGGATGCTTTGGTGTTAACTGAATTAGATTTTGGGATCTCTTACTCAGAGTCAAACTTACACTTAATTGCTTTTTTAAAGAAATTAACAAAACTGATTCTTTAAAAGGAAAGAAATTAAGTCTACCTAATTTTGGTATGTACTCTGCTACCCATATGAACAGTTCTATGGTAATGAAGTCAATAGAAAGGAAACAAGTTATTCCTTCTCCTTTTTAAAATGTTCAAAACTTGCTAATAAGGAAACCTTAAACAGAATCCTCAAAGCTAGTCTAGTTTTTGCCTTGTCTACAATGACTACTTTGTGTTTAATTTCAAAAAAATCCTCAGGCTCTACAGCCTCGGGGTGGTAGGTTTATTTTACCTTTATGCCTGGCGAAAGGATAGTAAGGTGCACGTACATCTATGCAACACGTGATCTTGTGTGGTAAAGGCAATGGAGTTAATTCTGACTTATATAGGAACTTGAATTATTTAATATTTAAATCTTATTATAAGTGCTGACAGGCCTTAAGAGCCCATGTGTTATATAAAACCTTCTGCCACCTGAATGAAAATATCAACATTGGTTTTGACAACAGCCTCCTGGCATTCAAACTGTACTTTAAATTTTCAAACACACTCATTGTAGCAAGCAAGACTTTAATTTTATTTCTGGCAAGTTTGGTTTACTCTTCTTTCTTGAGATTTTCTTCTTCTACATTAATAAATAATGCATAAAAATTTGAAACTGGAACTATATTATACTTTTTAACCAATTTCTTGTGACTATACTCATATGTAATTTACTTCAGTTAATGTAAGAACTAAGTTACTAATCTCATACTAGTATGAGATTAAGTTATAGCAAATGTGTAACACTGCTTTGTATATTTGGTGATTTTTGTAATGTAAGTGAATTGATTAATTCTTATTTCACTGACACTATTAATCATGCAGCATACAATTAAATTCATGCTACATTTACCTTTAGAATTGGGTTTGAAGAACTCAGCGTTGTGTAATGGTGGTATACATGTGGGGTGGAGAACTTATTTTTTCATTTTGTCAAAATAGATATTCCCTGACAAGACTTAAGGAAATATGCTGTTAGATTTTTAATGTATAATAAAGTCCATGATTTTTGTACTGTCATTTTTGTATGAAATACTTGACATATATTCTGAATTTTATTTCTCCAAGTAATTTCAAATGATGCTTATAAATAGACTTTTTCTTAATCTATTTTGACACTATAGTTACACATTTAACCCCATTGCAATTCTATAACAGCTAAAATGAAAAAGAAAATTGTCACTCATTGAAAAGTAATACTAATTCTTTACTAGTGATTTTTCTTTTAGAAAAATAAAGAGACTTCTCAGTAATTACCCTGGACATGTTACAGACAGTGTGACTATGTATACTTGCTATGTTTGGTCCTATTCAAAGAAATTCCTATAGTTTAAAGGGGCAGGTTATGTGTACACCAGCTTAAGTGTCTTGGGCCTGTAGTTTTAATACTAATGCATATTCATCCCATGTGCTCTTTATAGTTTCCTGTAGCACTTACCAAGTTCTTTCCTGCTACTGGGAGTTTCTGTTCTTACTTGTTTTGAATTTTATAAAATGTATATACACTTTTAGAAGGTCTGGAGGGGTGGATGGAATTAACTTTAGAATTATGTAATTTATCTGATATAAGTGCATGTATCTCCTAAATATATTTGTATATTGACATACATATAATTCACCAGTCACTTATAAACAGATACTACAATTTGATTTCAAATAATAAAAACTATTTATGCCAGCTAGTTTTGCAATTTTTTTAATGAGAAAACTGTATTATTAAAAATAATTGTGTTTACTCAAATAGTCTGTATAGCCATGAATCCCTACATCAGAAAGAAATGTAACTTCAGTTTACCTAAGATGGACTATATTATGCTAAGAAAGTGTACCGAGGCTAAACATGTAACCGTCAGGTCGCAGCTGATGGTGGAAGTAAGACTATATTGTCCCGCCTCTCTGCTTCCTGTTGATGTGCTGTCTGAATGCTGCACAGCTGTGGCTGAGTGAATGTCTTCTCAGTTTCCTCTCTCACTTTCCACACATAGAAACCTGTCCTTAACATACAGCATAAACCATATAGAAATAAAAATTTAAACTAAGATCTTATAACCTGCTTCTATCAGTGAGCCCTTCCTTTGTGTTCAGTATTGGAATAGTAGGCTCAATATAGAAATTATAAGCCATCATCATTTGAAAGCACTTGTAATTTCTATTCCATTGATCACATTAACCAATAAATGGTAACCCTTAAGCAGGGTTTTGTAAAAAGAAGGGATGCATATTTCCCATTAATGATGAAATTGCAATTGAAGGTTCTATTTAAATTAACCTACCCCACTTCAATACTGGACTCTTCAAGTAAACAGACACTAAGCTGGCCTTGGGACTTTTGCACAAGAACAGCTAACTTCTAGGTCATGTGCTAGAGTCAATATTTATTCAATGCAATTACTAACACATTTTATATATGTACTTCTCTATAAAAAGGATTGCTGTTAAGAATTATCATGCATTGCCAGAGATAGCATCTTTTGAGCATGTAGAAATGTGGATTCATACACTTAGTATAAGATTAATATATAGTTAGAACTGATGTATTTTAGTTAATTGAAATTTTTACCGTTCAGTCTTTTTAAACTGCCTCTCAGAATCCTAGCCATCTATATATTGAAAGGCTATGTTCAGAGCGACTTTAAAGAATATGTGGAATCTAAAGAACATAATAAACTGGTGAACAAAATAGATTCAGTGACATAGAAGCGTGGAACAGACTGATGAGTCTCAGAGGGAAGGCGAGGGTGGGTGGGTG